CTTTGTAGCTAGTTTCCTCCCAGGCTTCCTTTTCTTGTCCCTTCTCACAGTGACTGGTGTTTCCCTCACCAATTTTAAGATTAAAGGACATTTGATGCCTCTTGTGTACCATCACTCAAATCTATACGTGTTTTCTGCCCTGGACACTGTCAAGTTTAAAGGCCGCTGGGAAGAATCAGCAGAATGGTGAAAGCATCTCAGAATGAAAGCTGTTTATCATTAAGTGACTGACTTAAGGGAGAGTTCAAGGTAAGAACAACCCCAGGAGCCAAAAAATCTAAAGGATTGGTAGGACTTCGGAAAGTGGATTTTCCCCATCTCTCTTGAATGACTTCCTGTAAGATGCAGGCATCCATGCAGTTCCCGAAACTAACTTCTGCAGAGGCTACAAGATGAGGTGGATAATAATTAATGTCAGTATTGGAGAGTTGCAGGGGAGTGTGAGCATGGGGGCATTTCTTGGCAGACTCATTTTACCAAGTCATAGCTTCCGTTGCCCCCTCTCCATGAAATGTGATTCGGGCAACAGACAGCAGCGCTAGGTCTTAATCTGAGGTTGCATGCGCCGACTGGCTGGCAGACTCTGCCAAAAGGCAGGCATGCAATTCGTTTTGCAACAGCTGATCTGAAAAGCAAATGCTTGGTGCTTCTTTTTGCTTTGCGCTGGGGGTGCCTCGATACCTGTTGTGTCTCATGTATTATTTTGTCCTCCTGGACCTGGTGTCCATCACCACTGTTGACACTTGGAATGAAATAACAGGATGTTGGCCTATAATCCATTTTCCATGCGTCTTCTGGGAGGACAGGAACCTTCCAGAGAAATTGCGGCTAGCCAGAGCTAGTGGTGTTGACAAGTTTAAATGCCAAATTGACTGCAGCCTCTCTAGTTTAAAATTTTTCTATGTTTCAGTCTAAAGAGATTCAAGCAGCATCTTTTTTTTGTTGGAAGAGTAGAGCCTGATTATCTGTAATAGCAACGTTTATTCCCTCCACCTTGTTTCTCTTGCTTCTTTGTGCCATTAGCCAAATCCTGCTAACTGAAGAGTGTGGCTTTCTGTGTAGAGACATTTGTGAGAGGAGAGGGGTAATGCTGTGTTCATCCACAGGGCCTGGATTTAACCAGGCTAAGTGTACCCAAGACAGGACTGAAAATAGCCATAGGTCCCTGTGCAGTCAATTGAGGGAGGTGGGCATCTCCTAACTCCTTCCATTGGTGATACAGAGACAAGGACAGCCATGTTCCTAACCTAAATGCAGATGTGAGTCCTGTTACTTTCTGCTTAACATCAGAAGTTTGGGGAGGAATCCTCAAACGCAATTAAAATTGCAACACCTCCAGTGACAGGCTTGTGATTACCTCTAATGCCAGCTCAGTTGTGTTAGACAAGAAAGCAGCAGGAGGAGGAAGTGCTGCTTTTCTCTCTAAGCCAGTTGCTGTCTCTGTATTTAGTTTTTTTATTTTGATTTGGTGGTTGGGTTTTTTTTGTTGTTGTTTTGTTTTTTGAGAGGCAGGCTGGATTCATCAGAAAGCTGTTTCTGTGAAGGAAAAAGGAAATTCAAGTGTGGGAAAGACATAAAATTTATGAAAAATCTAGGACTTTTCTTTTGCAATTTTAGATTTCACACAAAGCCTTGGTGAGTGCTGATTCCAGCTGCTAGTGGAGCTGAATACTTTGTGGATACAAGTTTCCTGGTGCAGCTCTGACCCTTGCATAGGGACCTGTGTCCCCTGTTGAGGGTCTAAAATTATAAGGATTTTCAACTAATAGCTCTATATTGCTTTAAGAGTTCTACTGCAAAGTGAATATTTGACGCTTCTAACTGTGGGGTTTTTTGGAGGTACATAGGTATTCACAGCATGTAAAAATGCAATAAATCTGTTAGACAAGTGTGTTGAAGTAGAGGAAGAAGTAAAAAGGAGAAATCGTGGGGAAAGGCTTATTAAACATCTTCAGAGAAATGAAGCAAAATTGCTAGGTGAGTGGTGTACTTTGTAGAAATGTATTCTGAGGGAGGTCTGTTTCAACTCTGTAAGTCGAATCTTTAAAATACTAGCTCTTGCTAAGAAATCAACTGAATGCCTGATCTTCCAAGGGAGCAAACCTCTTACAAGAGCAGCAGTGCGTGCTAACGCTGGTAGCATGGTAGTGTTTGAGGGGGAAATTTCTAGAGAATGGTTTCAAGTGTCTTTGGATTTGATTTAGCATTCAAAAAAAAATGAGGATGTTCACAATTGGGATTAAAAACATAAAGCAGTCATAGTTCACCTTGAGAGCTGCTAAACCAGGAAGCCAAAAAGAAGGCATAGTTCATTCTCTGATGATGAAGTGGGCTTTATACATGCAAGCCATCAGACTTGGTTGCTGTCTTACAACGAAATTGTGATGCCTTACATTCTGTATTCCAGTCAGATTTTTTCAGTCAAATGTTGATTATTTCCACCCTGTTAATCAAGGGTTGGGGAATGAGTCACGCAAAGCAAACTACATGCTAGAAGTAAAAGGATCATTTGGTTCAAAAGGCTTGATGCAAAATTGGAGATTTCAGGTTGGGAGGGACTTCGGGATGTCTCTGGTCCCACCTGCTGCTTAACACGGGTTCAACACAGAGTTCACATCATGTTGCTCAGGGCTGTCTCAAGTCGGGTCTGGACACGCTCAAGAAGTGGGCCCATGTGAACCTCACCAGGTTCAACAAGGCCAAGTGCAAGGTGCTGCATCTGGGTCAGGGCAACCCCTGGTATCAATACAGGCTGGGGGATGAAGGGATTGAGAGCAGCCCTGTGGAGAAGACCTTGTGGGTACTGGTGGATGAAAAACTGGACATGAGCTGGCAATGTGTAATTGCAGCCCAGAAAGCCAACCGTATCCTGGGCTGCATCAAAAGAAGCGTGGCCAGCAAGTTGAGGGAGGTGATTCTGCCCCTCTGCTCCTCTCTGGTGAGACCCTACTTGGAGTACTGTGTCCAGCTCTGGAGTCCTCAGCAGAGGAAAGACATCGACCTGTTGGAGTGGATCCAGAGGAGGGCCACAAAAATTATCAGAGGGCTGGAGCACCTCTCCTATGAAGAAAGGCTGAGAGAGTTGGGGTTGTTCAGCCTGGAGAAGAGAAGGCTCTGGGGAGACCGTATTGCGGCCTTTCAACACTTAAAGGGGGCTCATAAGGAAGATGGGGACAGACTTTTTAGTAGGGCCTGTAGCGATAGGACAAGGGGTAATGGTTTTAAGCTAAAAGAGGGTAGATTCAAACTAGATATGAAGAAGATATTTTTTATGATGAAGGTGGTGAAACAGTTGCCCAGAGAGGTGGTAGATGCCCCATCCCTGGAAGTGTTCGAGGTCAGGTTGGACAGGGCTCTGAGCAGCCTGATCGAGTTGAAGATGTCCCTGCTCATTGCAGGGGGGGTTGGACTAGATGACCTTTAAAGGTCCCCTCTAACCCAAACCATTCTATGGAGGCTGCACAGCCTTGCTGCGCCCCTCTTCCAGTGCTTGACTGTCCTCTTGGGGGAAAAATATTTTTCCTGTATCCAGTCAGGCCTCCCTGTTTCAGTTGCCCCTGATCTCCCAGCTGTGCACCTCAGCAAGGAGGTCTGGGCTGCTTGATAACCTGCCTGTATATTGTAAGGCTGATGTTGTGCCCCCCAAGGGTTTTCTGTTCTCCAGGCTGAACAAGCATGTTTCCCTCAGCTTCTTCTCACAGGTTGTGTGTTTCAGCCCCCAACCATCTTGGTGGTCCCCTCTTGACTTGCTCAAAGATGTTGACAGCTGTCTTGTGGTGGGAGTCCAAAACTGGAGGGGGAATCTAAATGTGGTCTAATGAGTGCTGAGTAAAAGGGGATTAACAGTGTCCCTCTGTTTCCTGACTGTGCTCCTGTGAATGGCACCCAGGATGCTGTGGACCTCCCTCGCTGCCAGGGCACGCTCCTGGCTCTTGATGTGCAATGTGCTCTTCACTGGGACTGCCAGCGTAGCAGAGCTGCTCCCCAGCCAGTCCTTGAGAGAGCTGTCCACTGCCTTTGCCAGCAGATGCTTGATAAACTCCCAGGCATCTTGGTGGTACTGCTGGCTGGTGCAGAGGCAGCAGAAACCCACCTGAAACGAGACAGCAGTGTAAATGTGTTTGGGTAAAAAGGAGTGGGTTAGAGCTTAGCCTAGAGCACAGGCCCTGCGGACCGCTGCAGGTGGCTTTGTGTGCTAAAGGAGTGGCAAACCTGGAGTACTGAGCTTAGCCAGCTACTTGGAATTAATTTCTTCAGCACATCATTTGTGAAATTTCAAAAGGCATTTGAGTTCATTAAGGCCCAGTGTCGCAGCAAGCGCCAAAAAGTGAGATCGTGTGAACTGTACTTGGGAATTTTAGTTTTTAAGGGATGAACTTGCTCACAGAGAAATTTTAGCCAGTTCTGTTATCTTGCCAAAATGTATCTGGAGATCAGCCATCAGCCCAAAAGAAACCACCTGTAGAAGCTATAAATGAGTGCAAAGACCTCAGGCTGACAGTGCTTGTGACGCTTTTTGCTCTAGCATAAGACCAGAAACATCCGGCTCAGATTCCTCAGGGTTATTACCAGGTGTACAATTCTGATGAAATATGTGTTTGGGGGATTCTCCAAACATGACTTTTAATGTGGTCCAATTTTGAAGCTAGTCTTTCATAAAGCAGTTGCTGAGGTTTATGAGTGTCTATCCTGTAGTGCTTAGGGGAGACCAGAACCAGCAAATAATCGTCTTATAAGCCTTTATCAGAGGGAAACATAAGCTGGTTTTAAATATTTGTGTCTTTACTTAGAGGCAGTAGGAAATGTGATGTGAGTTTTAAATGAAGGCTTGCTGAGGTAAGGCCCTGGGGTGTGTCCTGTCTGGCTTGGCAGAGCTATGCTCCAAATCTTTAAGAGGTAGTGGTTTCCCTGTCAGAGTAGACAGGGGCAGTTATGCTATTCAATATTGTGCAACAGAGAGAATAAATGATGGGATTTATATTATTATTAAAGAGATTGCAATGGGTGTTTCAGATCCCAAAAAAGAGAAGGAAGAGGAGGAAGTTTCCAGTGTCCTCAGCCATGGCTCTCCTGTCAGCACAGCCAGGCCTAGCAGAAGCTGGCGCAGCAGCAGGTCAGCCACTGCGGCCCGCCAGCGTGACACTGAGAATTCACGTGCCTCCAGATCCAAGACTGGTTCCCTGCAGCTCGTCTGCAAGTCAGAGCCAAACACAGACCAGCTTGAATACGGTACGTGGAAAGCCCTGGCATGAAAGTGCCTGGTGGAGATAGTCAGCTCTTGGGAACCTCTGAAGGGAGCTGGATGTGGGTATAACTTTGTGAGCTGTATGCAGACTGTGGCTGGTAGAGGCGTGGTGCTTCTTGGTCATGAGTACCTTCTGCCACCAGCACCCCTGGCACTGAATGTCGACGGAGGTATCTTGAGACAGATGAGCTCACTGCAGCGAACACAGATTGAAACCTAATGGTGACTTTTCCTTTCAGAGGTCACAGAAGAGCATCAGTCTCCAGCTGGAATCAGGTAGGAAGCTCTTTATTTTGTGGTATTTCTTCCTATTTAGTGTCTCAAGAAGGGAAAATAAGGGCCTGAGCTTTTTCAAAATAAATGCTTCTGTGAAAGGATCTATGGGACGGATAGTAGCTCTGTTCTCATTCAGTGCTGGACCTTTGCATTTTTGGTCTGGATTGCAGATGGACTGCAGATGTCAGGAGATATTGTGGAGAAATGGGTAGTAAGATTTGATCTGGGCATTTCACCTGGTAGCTTTCTTCTTTCAGGAGCAGATGCTGTAGTTAGGTGGGTTCACAAGAGGAGACTGCTCTGCCTAGCCTGCCTGTTTTGGCTGTCAGCATGCTCCTTAGTGCAAGCTGTTAGCTTTCCCCAGTCATGCTGGATGAGAAAGTGCTGTGTAATAGTGTCTTTCCCATCCTAGGGGATGATGCATGAATATTCTTGCAGTAGTGCTTAAGCTGTTGCTGCTAAAGTCCTCTCTTCTCCTTTTCTCCCAGCAGTGATGATGAGGACATGCTCATCAGTGAGGAAGAAGTTCCCTTTAAAGATGATCCAAGAGATGAAACCTACAAGCCCCATCTAGAGAAGTATACTGGATTATGTACTTACTGTGTTTTTAGACAGGAAAAAATTGTGACATCTTGGTTGAATGAGCTTAATACAACCCAAAGAACCTGTGCTAGTTGCTAAGGTGGAATGGCTTCCATTGCACACAGTGTTTTCTAAATATTGCCTACAGCTATTGGGACTGTTCTTCTCTAACGGACTAAAGCCTTTAGAGTCCTGCTGGCTGCCAGGTTACTCCTTAATCCTTGTTCATACTTCTGCTTAGAAGTGGGACTTGGTAAATAGACATAAACTTTGATCTTTGAGCTTAATTAAATCTTTCTAAAAAGCAGACAACGGGACGAGTATTGGAGTAGTATGTTGTATTTGTACCTTTGTAGGGAAGCGCCAAAGCAAAGGAGAAAAGCTAGCAAGGTGAAGGAGGAAAAAGAGAAACAGAAAGAGATTAAAGTAGAAGTAAAAGAAGAGACTGAGTTTCAGGAAGATGAAGACCCACCAAGGAAGTGAGTAAAACTCTCCAGTTATATGTATCAGTGTGTATATTTTGCATTCTTGCTAGTGTACAATGGTGTTTTGTTTTTGTTGGCTTCCCCCCCTCCTCCTCTGGGCCTGAAAGATAATAGAGCAGAACCTTTTGTTTTGATGGAAGTCCTGCTTCCTAGTATCTTGCGCATGTTTGGCAAGGAAAAATAAGAGAGTTGGTATTTTCATTTAGTTTAAGTTGAGGGGGTTTTCTCCATACTGTGGTTTAGTTAGCTTACCTGGATATGGTCACACAGTGTGAAATACTTTAGAGCGTTCTTAAAAGTGGTTTCTGTTGTGATGCCTGAAGTGGATTAGACCGTATTAGAAAGCCAGTCTGAGAAGGCAGCATCTCTTCTGTTGTGTGCTTCGAGGCAGACACGGGAATACTTTGTATGTGTTGTGTGTTAAGCGTGCTCTTTGTACATAGGAAAAACAGCTGTGTTCTCCCTCGTTTTGGAGAAATGAAAGAACAAACTTTTGCTACCTAGTCAGTCACTAGTGCTTTGAGTCTGGAGACTCAAAACCTTTGGGTGTGCTGTCACTGGAACCCAACACTGAAGCTTTTCTTCTGGCAACTGAGGTGAACAGGATTTTTGTGTCTGTGTCAAAGCTATTCTTTGGGATAGCGTGCGTGGGGGAGGCATTTTTTGTACTTCAGCCCCTCGATGAGCAGTTGGAACAGACGGGGCTCCCTCTGCTGGTCTGCGGCCGGGGCTCTGCACACCTTCCTTTTAATTTCTCTTGCTGTTTCTAAGCTGTTGCAGAGCTGGTTTGCACTGGAGAGGACTAAGGATGCTGATATTTTGAGAACTTTTTTCTGTTAAGAGATGGCTTTCTGAGGCTTGTGGTTGTGTTGTTTGGATCAGACACGTGCGTAATAAAACCTGTGCCTATTCTGAAGGCTTGGCTTGAATGCTGAGTGCCTGTTCAGCATGTTACTGGCATGGTTGTGCTGTCAATAAAGATGTCTCAGTACAGTCTAGAAAAGACTTCCATCAATCTACTGTGTCTGCAGCGATATGATCAAGCAGGCACGATGTTCTGGGCAGAGCTATTGCTTGGGAGGGTGCGTTTTACATGGAAGCATAGGTCTGCTCCGATGGAGCATAGATTTTTGCCTTGACAGGTGTATGAGCTGCTATAGTTAATTCAGAGGACTGTAAAATGGCTGCTAGATCATTAATCCTGTTCTTCCTAGTCATGCAGATTGATGTTTTTCATGTGGTATGATATGTTACCCAACAGAGCAGAGGAAATAGGGTGCACCATCAATTCTGGACTGTGTTGGCAAAACTACATGTTTATAAAAAATGCATTAGGAAAGGGGAGGGATTGTGAGAGCAAACCACATGAAGCATTTCTTTCTCAAGAATGTTGCCTTCCTTGGAATCTGCCTCCAACGTGCACTCGATTTTTTTTTTCTAGAGCTTGCAGTTAATGAGTCAGTCGCTTGCAACTGTCTGCAGCAGAAACTTATGAGGGCAGACCTTGGTGTGCTGATGTGCAGCCTGGAAAGGGACGAATTTAATTATAAGGTCGGGAGCTGTTTGGACAGTTGCAGGTTTAAAAGAAAAAATGTGTGAAGCGTGTGATGCCTGGTTGAGGGTTTTTTTAAAATAGCCCTTCCTCATTCCATTGTGGCAGAAGAGTTGGTAATTTCTAACCACAGCCTGTTGCACTGTGGCTGTCTGATACCTGTTTACTGGTATCTGTACAGTTGTGAATGGTAGGCTGAGAACGTTTGAGCTAGGCAACCACATTAAAAAATGTGTTCTACGCTAGACCTAGCAGGTAGTCATGCAGCCGCAGCCTGACTATGTTGGCAGAGGCGGGGTGATTTGAGGCCTGCCTCATGCCACCAAATGTCATGCAGAAAAGTGTCACCCAGGTATCGGAAACACGGGGACCACAGCTCCAAAGAGAGTGGTCTTTTGTGCGATGTGGCAGCTCTGCAAAATGCAGGGACAATTTGCATGGAGGTCTGGTTACTTAACTTCTTTAGGGAACCTGCCTGCCTGTTACAAAAGCGTTTCCTTAGAAACTCTTCAGGCGTTTTGATCCAGAGCAGGTGGCTGACTTACCAGAGCAGATGACTTGCTGGGTGCAGTGTTACTTTTCAGCCTAAAAGCGTAGAAGAGTTCTGTAGTATTTCGTATAGCATGCTCCTGCTTTATAGCATACACTTCAAAAACTCTGCCCACTACCCATGTAAAGAAGCTTCTTTCAATTCTGTTTCTGTAACCCTGTTACAGGAGGGGAAGGAGGAGAAAGGATGACAAGAGCCCAAGGCTGCCCAAGAGAAGGTAAGTGATCTCCTCTACTCGGTTCTGTTCTGAAGAATTGCTTCCCTTCTGTCCTACACAGAGATGTTGATTGTCTCAAAGCCATCTCTCTTGCACAGTATAGAAATCGTCCTTAAGGGGGGGGTGGGGGGAAGCAGCATGCCCTGACTTCCCTCCTTTCTTTCCCCCTTCTCCCTGTAGGTGTGTGTTTGATTTCTTCCAGCTGAACCAGCCCCCCATACACACTTACACACACACACACACTTCTGAGTTGATCCCTAGCCTGGCATTGCACAGTGATACGGTTCTGGGAACTCTCTGTCTCCTGGAGTTTTCTCAGCTCTGGGGAGAGCCCTCAAGTAGCGCTAGGAGCAGAGGGGACTCTTGAACAGAGTATCAGCATAGCCCGAACAGGAATATTGGAGCAGTGATCCATTGCTCTCACATCACCAAGCTGCACTCGCGCTCATTTTTCTTGCTGCTGCCCTGGCTTCAGATGCATCAGCTACCACTGTGTCTGTTTCCTTACTGACTTCTTAGGAAGAAGCCTCCGATACAGTATGTCCGCTGTGAGATGGAAGGCTGCGGCACAGTCTTGGCTCACCCACGTTACCTGCAGGTTGGTTGAGATTTTTCACTTCCTGAATGGCATGTATGAGGGCAGGGAAGGGCTATTTGGAACAGGCAACTAATCAACCAGTGGCACTGAAGCACTCCTTTCTAACGCTGTCTTTTTGGTTGACATAATCAATTGTGGCCAGTTGTGGCCGCATGTGTGTCTGTCCTGTTGCTAGATGTCCACGTTTGTTTGGCTTTCTTCTCTCAATGGAGATCAAAGCCTTTGTGTTCATGGTGTAAGGGTATCTTGTCAGTGATTGGAGTCTGGTGGCCTGCTGGGAGGTCATCTGGGATCGAAGTATCTCAGCTGCTCTCTTAGCCATGTAAAGAGAGAGTCTACAACCTTTCACTCTTCCTTTATAGCATCACATAAAGTACCAGCACTTGCTGAAGAAAAAATACGTGTGTCCTCATCCCTCCTGTGGTCGTCTCTTCCGACTCCAGAAGCAGCTCCTGCGGCATGCCAAACACCACACAGGTACAGGGGGGTGGGAAAAGGATACAAACTCCTCCTCAGGTCAGTGAACAGAGAGGGGGGAAAAAATGGAAAAGCCTCTAGGACTTCTGGGGAAGGTGAAGCCAGGGCAGGCGGCATAGATTTGCAGCAGCAGCAGGGTATTATTTCCTTCTGGATTACCATCTTTTAAGGAAATGAAAGAAATAGGCTATGGATTTTTTAATTCACCCCCTGGCAAGTACCACCCAGGGGTTCTGTAGAGGAATAAACCAAGCCAAGCTTTATACTAATTTGCCAGTCCTTCAGTATTGGTCAGAATGGATAATTAGCTCTTAGGAGAGTCTTAATCATGTCTTAACTCTCCAGATCAGCTGCTGTGGTGTGTTGTGAGACACCTCCTCCTTTGCTATGCCTGCTGGCCTCCCAGCACATCTAGTTCTGCCACTTCTTGGGCAGCTTTACCTGCAACATGTGAGAGCTGGGAAAGGGAGCAGGGCTGCAGGAGAGTAATGCTCCAACTGGTGTTGTTTTTTTTAGATCAAAGGGATTACATCTGTGAGTACTGTGCCCGGGCGTTTAAGAGTTCTCATAACTTGGCAGTGCACCGAATGATCCATACGGGCGAGAAGCCCTTGCAGTGAGTACCTCTGCCTGTCTCTTGCTCTCCTGCTTTGAGGGACCCTTGGATACACCCGTTCTTGGACTGCACTGGGAGCAGGGGCAGCTCTGAAGTCAGGACTGGAACCTGTTCTGGGTGTCCCAGCTCTCTTTAAATGCAGACCTGTAGGAGTGTTTGTGCTGCCACTTGTTTCACCTGCTCCTTGAGGCAGTGTCTCAGTAGAGATCTGAGGAACATAAGCCCTCTGCAAATAAAACTGTAAGAGTTGGAGCTACAGTGATATCCCATTTTAGTGAGCCCCTGCTGTTTTCCTGGGCTGCCTCTGTCCTACCGCTGTCTCCACAAGCGTGTGGGGATGTCCCTTTGTTGTGACCTCCCCCTTCTCCCCTACCAGGTGTGAGATCTGTGGATTCACCTGCCGGCAGAAGGCTTCCCTCAACTGGCACATGAAGAAGCATGATGCGGACTCCTTCTACCAGTTCTCCTGCAACATTTGCGGCAAGAAATTTGAGAAGAAGGACAGCGTTGTGGCCCACAAAGCCAAGAGCCACCCCGAAGTGCTTATTGCTGAAGCACTGGCTGCCAATGCAGGTGCCCTGATCACCAGCACCGACATCCTGGGCACTAATCCTGAGGCCATTGCGCCGCCCACCGATGGCCAGGGCCTCCCCCTTCTTCCCGACCCCCTGGGAAGTGCTGCCCCGGCAGATTGCCTGCGGCTGAACCCTGACGGGATGCCGAAGACATACTGTGGTGGGGCAGAGCGTGTGAGCCTGGTGGCTGATGGCAAGCTCTTCGTGGGCAGTGGCAGCAGTACAAACCCGGAGGGGCTGGTCATGAACACAGAGATCCTGGGAGCCACCACGGAGGTGCTCATCGAAGATTCAGACTCCACTGGACCCTAGTGGGTGGGGAGCACATGGGTGCTGGGACAGTTTGGACTCTGTATTTAAAAGGAAAAAAGGAAAAGGAAAAAAAAAAAAAGAGACACTTGCTGAAAGAGAGAAAAGTTAAACAAAACTTACAATACTAGTAAATAACCGAAGGGTCTGCTCCCCTCCAGCGTGGATCACAGCACATCCTCTTTCTCCCAACCACTTCTCTCTCTCCCACTGCTCCTTTGTAGAAAGGGGCACATGCTGCCATTACCAGAGCAAGTTGGATTGAGCGACGGATTTCGCCAAGGGAGGGGGGACTGCTGAAACCCTTTGCTCTACCCCAAAGCAGATGCCTTTCTGGCTCCTTGACGTGGCCCCACTCACAAACTAGAAAGCATTTGATGTGCTCTGGACAAGTTTCTTAGGACTCCCTCTCGCCCCTGGTCCCAACTTCTATGCATCGCTGCACTCTGGTCCTTGCAGTCTCATTCTTCCTCCTGGGGCTGGGAGTTTGGCTTGGCACTTTAGGCCCCCTCAGCAGGGTGAGCTGTGAAACAGCGCACGTCCCTCTCCCCACCGCGCTCCTCTGCTCCAGCTCTGGCAGGAAGTCGAGGGAACGCCCTGGCTCATAGATCATGTTTGCTTGGAGAGGCCCGGGGGCTACGGGAGCCCTGCGTGGGAGAGGCAAGGAGGAGCATCCCAGTTTGACGACAGTAATTTGCACTTTGAACATGTTTCGTTTTTGTGTTGTGGTAACAAGATTCCTTATTTATTGATTAAAAAAGGGTCGGTATTTTTTAGTTATGTTCTTAGGGGGTGGGGGTGGAAGGGGTTCAGGCTATTTCCCAGTAGGCTCCTTTGCACTAGTGAGCTGCAGGGAGCATGTTGTGCCATCGTAACGGCAGCTGGGAGAGCTGAGGTGAAGGCAGTGTTCTGGAGTCAGATGTCTCTCGCAGCTTTTCCAGAGTAGAGGGAGAGCCCCTGGAGAAGAGCCTGTTTGCAGTGGGAGTCTCTGCAGCAGCATTTTAGCAGGAGGATGAGGTGAGTGATGGAACAGCTGGCTGTTGTCTCCCTCCCTCCCAGGTCAGGGTGAGCTCCTTGCATTAAATGCTCTTTTTGCCTCCCCCTTGTCCCCTAGCCTTCCAGGGAAGAACATCATTAGCCAGGAACTTGTTCTGGTGACTTAGGATGGTTGTGAGCTGCTTGCTGCTGGGGGATGTTATGCTCCTCATCCAACTCTGCCTCTCCTTTCCAGGTCTAGACAAAGATACAGAAGCAGGGACCTGGATATGGTTGTCTCAGGCTTGTTTATCCAAGGCAATAGTCTGATGCAGGACTAAGGGTCTGTCAGCTGCTCTCCCTGCCCCCGTTTTGGGGAGAGGGTGTTGTGCAGCTGTGTCCTCAAAGCTTCTCTCCTGCGCAAACACCCCTGCTTTCCATGAAACATGGCGGTTCATGTTGCCTGCCAGTGTAGTTAGGACAGCTCTGAGCCCTTGGAAAAGTTTACATAGGATATGATGTGTCTGCTATGGAGACTTGGATCTTTTTGCTCTTATCTGAAATTTTGTGTGGAGATTCAGTGGCCTTGAATTCGTAGTGTTTTTTGGAAGAGGTGAAGAATAACCTGGGCTTTTTGTTTGCTTGTTTTTTCGGTTGGGTTTATGTGGTTGGGAGCAGAGCTGAAGTATCTTGTCCGAGCACAAGATCAGCTAAATTGGTCTGTAGCACACAGCAGCTAGACAAAATCGGGTACCTGGGGTCTGGAGAATGGCAATAAAACATGGAATTTAATTGGAAACCTTTTACAGGAAACTGACTCTGAACACCCACTCTGTCCCCTGTGCTGCCTGGAAGTCCAGCTGCAGCCCAAGCCTGACAGCTTTTATTGGGCCATTTGTCCTGATTTGCCCCCTCCCTTCCCCCCTTACACCGATATCTTTGTCAGAGCAAGTTGAAACACTTCTGGTGTTGAGGCAGTTTGTGGCTGAACAGTTTGCAACCCTGGTGTCTTATGCCCTGGGTGTGGGCATCCCATGTTCTTGCACTGTGGCAGCAGCCTGGCTCCCATGCCTGCGGCCGGGAGCCTCTCCTGGAGATAAGGATGAGGGCCCAGCGTACCTGAACGCGGGTCTCCTGGGAGAACGCGTGTCAGGTCCGCAGTGGTATGGTGTTAAACTAAACCAGTTTCTTCAGTTGGGATGTTTCTTGCTTGGATCAAATGATTGTGATTTCCAGCAGGAAGCTTTTGGGTGGCCAGCTGGTCCCCTCCCCTTGCAAACTAAAGAGAAGCAGCACAACGAGACGTGTTCAAACCCAACTCTGATGCTTTCACCCCCAGCAGTGGAGGTATTCTGTCCAGGGAGACTTAGGGCTAGCCGAGCCACGTTGTGTGGTGGCGTGTCTCCTGGCCTGGATCCCAGCCACGGGTAGCAGATGCGCTCCCGTGCTGCGGGTCAGTCGTGTGATCCCCACGCTTGCTGCAGACCATGCTGCTGGAGCTGCTTTTCGTGCCCTGCCCCTGTGCCCCATGGGAGGCGCGGAGTGGGCAGAGCCTTGCACAGAACACTAAATGGAGGGCTTGGGGTTTTGTTTTCTGAGGGATGGCACTAAAATGCTTTTGGGTCAAGGGCTTGCTCACCTCTGGTGATGCAACGTTTGGCACCTGGATGGGAGGTGAGGGAGACTGCCTTGTCTTGTGTCTGCCCCAACCGCCCCGAGCGGAGCAAAGAGTTTGCCATCGGCCGCATTTCTGGGATGCAGAATCGAGCAGCTCATTTGCTTCCCGGCCCGGACACCTCTGATCCCTGCCACTCCCCACCTTGTCTTTCCATGCACACCTCTCGTAGCTCTCCTTTTTCTTTTTCTGGTCTCGGCCAGTTGCCTGTCTGTCCTCTAACCACAGCCTGCTAACCCCTGATGCAGGAGAGACTGGTGTAGCTCCCTTCCCGCTCCCCTTTGAAACCGTAAAACTGACACAGCCCTCCTGCAGCTCCCCTTGATGTCTCTCCTTCACTCGCATGCAGTTTGCTTCAATAAATTATTGTAGTAGTTTGCAATAAACTTTTTTGTATTTTTTTCCCTGTATTTATTTTTTTTTTTTCTCCTCCTGGGGAGGGAACAGAGGGGATGCAAGGCCCTTTGCCTGCTCAGTGCCCCAGAGAGCTTGTGGGTGCTGCTCCTGGCGTGGGAAGTGGTGTGCGGGCAGGGGCCTCCCTCCGGGGGCCTTGGGGCACAGGGTTTGGGCTGGGGGCTCTGCCAGCTGGAGCTGGGGGGCTACCGGCGCTCAGCAGCGCTTTCTGCAGTAGCCACCAGGTGGCAACGATGCTGTTAGGTTGGCCACCAGCCCCAGGAGCTCGGGCTGGGGGGGCCGAGGCAGGCCCCCAGCCAGGCTGGGGCAAGGCTTGGTGTACTGTGATACTGAAGGGAAACTGCTTTTCAACTCTTGGGTTTTTTCTTTTAATCTGGGTAATACATAACCAAAATAAAAGTACTGAGGAAAAAACAAACCAACCAGAAGGGCTGTTTTTGTCTTGGTGCATGCAGTTCACCTGCGGTGGGTGGCCGGTGTTGACCTGGGCTAGCTGGGAACTCCTCCCCC